ACCCTTCATCAGATCAACGGCCAGTCATAAATCAACCTCGTGATGCTAACAAGCATCCTAAAACTTCTCTATCTTCTATAATTCTCGGTGCTTCAATAATGACCAACAAACGTCCATCATATGTCATCCTCTCTGATAGCCATCTAAAACACCTTCCCAAACACATTCCGCAACAACATTACGATATTTATACTATCGCAAAATCCGGATTACAATGGATTGATCGATATGATACACAAACATCAGCTCAATACAAAGTTGCAACCGAACATGCCAAATTGATTTCCACGTGTGACACCATCGTATTGGCAATTGGCACTAACACCTTACGCCATACAAAGTTCGTTGATGCTATTGAACAAGTGAAGAATATCGTCAGCTTAATTCGAAAACAACACCCACATCTCTCATCCCCATCTCAAATCATCATCACCCTCTGTTTCGCATGCAAAAAAGAATCCACAAAATTCCCAACAGCAGCATCCCTAAGTGATAATATCGATCAGTACAATCGATCATTAATACGTTTGGCGGCGACGTCACATTTCACTGTCATTGATTGCGGAATACAAGAACAACATATCGCAAATGACAAAATCCACATCAACGTTAAATTTCGCCATTTGATTTTCGATGCCATCCTAAATCAGCTTGATCACAATCGCCTGTCACCATCACCACTTATCCCACCATGCTCACGTTCTCAATCAATTAATTCGTCTTCCTCAATTTTATCTTCTTCCTCACCACACTCACTTCCCTCTAAAGCACCAATCATTGAACAGTCTGCAGCACCACCCGCCGCTCCAGTACCTCATCCTCATCATTCAGCACTTCAGAAATCAAAAACTCGTCAATCCATTCATTGCAAACAAATGAAGAACATAGTATCATCAAAAAAATATCATGCCAAAGATTATGACATATGCCTTCACAGAATTATATATCACAAATTCAAGATCGGTGAAATTAAACAAGTGCTCAGAGGATTAAAATTGCGATGGCGAAACTTCAATAAAAAATTTGTCGATGGCAAGTGGATCTTGTCCCTGGGACTATTTGCCGAAGAACAAAAGCTCGACTATGAATTAAGATTATCTGAGAATCTATTTACAGCCCATCATTACCGGCAGTTATTTGGTGCATAGCCACTTAGTTTTATGTTTAGCTTTTTTTCCTTTTGTTTGTTTTCCCCGTTTTCCTTTAAAGTTATTCCTTCCTTGTTTTGTATCATCTTCGTCAGGCGTCTGTCTTTTGTTTTGTTTTTTATTATTGTTATCCAGATTTTTTTTTCTTTCAAAGCTTGAGAGCTCTTTACTCCGTTATTTTTTCTATATATATATATTCATTCGTTATTTGGTAACCGCCAATTTTTTTCTTTCCTTTTTGGTCTTCCCAACTGCCTTAGTCGTTATAACTTCTCGGATGGATCTTACATCCTTCGGGGGCGGTGAGGATGTTATGCCTGGGAGGCATTTTGCACTGTTTCACTCGTAGTCCTTTCTTCTTCACGTCCAGGCTATCCATACTATTCATTCTTTAGTATATGTATGTACATATACAGTTATATTTACTATTTTCTCTTTTCTTTCTTTGTTATGATTCAATTCTT